ATCAAAGTGAGTATTGAACTAATCGTAAGTCGATGACATCCTTTCCTCTAGGGTGGTAGCTGACTCCCACCACTGTAGTGCATCTCCGACCAGCTTGAATGTAACAAGCATCTACTTTTGAACCTCTGTGCAATGAACTAATCAAAGATGTCGCAAAATATCCTTCTTCCACTAATGAACTACTTTCGCATCGGTGGAGCCTGTGAACTCAGGTGGGCTCCCCTTTGTGAAAGAACCCCTGGCCTTCTCCCAAGAATCATTCAGAACCACTGGTGCTAGTAACGGTGCCTGCTGAACCTGTGGTTGATTCCAAAGTGCAGCTGTCACACCTGCTTCTATAGCCCGAGCAATGAGGTCATTGATATGAGGAGGATACTCTGGATCTCTGCCCTGATCTAGAGTCTACTGAACTTCCTCCTGCTCTCCATAGAACTGACCATCATCATCCTAAAACTGCTTATGGGCTACTTCCCTTCGGTACTGATTGTTCCATTTGGTTTTAGCGTTAACCATTTTGTTAACACAAAAAGAAAGACATCAGTACGATTAAACCGAACTATAAAGGAATACAATGAATCCTAAACTTAAGCTCCAAACAATAGAGTACGTTACGCGGAAGTCATATACGATAGAATCCTAGAGACACTAAACCTGGAGTGCTCTGATACCTGATAAGCGCCGAATATTGCATATTCAAGCGCCCTTATTTGCATTAGTTAAGTCCATTAGTTGATAATAATGTATAGTTTTGCTTTATTTGTTTGCTTTCGTCTATTTCCAGGTTGGTTCCCCCGAATATAATTAGAAGAGCGGTTTTGACAATCCTTTGAAGGATCAGAGCACGCCGTTGCTGGGGACCGTTATTTGAGCCAAGTTTCTTGAATCAGCATGTACGTGAGTTTTGCGGCCTTGCATTAAAAATGACGGCTGTGTCACTGGACCAATCAATATGGCTAAAAGAGAGGGCTTAATACTTAGAAGGTAGGCATCCGCGGGCGCTCGCCAATTACTCCAGTATGCTGCATTCCTCGCGGGCCTTCGCCGCCTGCTCCGCTGGTGCCCGCCGCGCCACTGCGGGCGCTTGCCGTTTTGTCCAGAGGCCCTTTTCGGATGCAAGCACCCGCGGGCTCCCGCCGATTTACAGACGAGTGGGTATGGCTGCATTGTTTCTTCCAAGGCTGTCCCTTTGACCCTTTTTTGTGTGGTCCTGAATGCTCCTAGGGTTATAGGGGCACAAAAATGGAGGGAAATGTAACCCTTTTGGCTAGAAAAAGCCCTTGAGGCTATTGTTTAGAGAATCTCACCTTTTGGCTAAGTTCTAAAGAGAAAAATAGTGAGTTTGGAGGGTTTTGGGTGTTCTGGAGCTAAGATGCGAAAATGGAGAGGGATTCTTCATCTTCTTCTTCATTCTTTGTTTTCATGGGTAACTAACTCCCTACCTAAGGAGGTGATGAAGCTCTCCATTGTAAGCATGTTCTAGCTTAACTTCTATTTTGGGGATAATAATGTATAATTTTGGCCTTTCCATGATCTAGAGCCTCTCACTTGTTGTAATGGATTCCAATGTCTATAAATGGTTATTTTAAGTTAATTATCTTGTCTTAGATGGTTTCTTATATTAATCATATTGCTTATATTTTCATACTGACAATGAAAATAAGGTTATGGAATGGTTTTAATGGCATATTGATAGAAAACCTTAGTCTATTGCTCAGGTATTCCCTTTGATGGTTTATGCTTGATTCCTAGCTTCATGTGCTTCATCATTTGATTAGGGGCTTGATAATCCTTGCTTAAGTGAGTATGTTTAAGGCTACACCCTAGTTTAGGTAGTTCAAATATATGAACCTTTGATGGATTATTCTTGCCTTGTGATTTAATAAACTTCTTGACAATTATATGGCAACCATGTGTTACTATATATTTCATGATCATTAAATATATTGTCTATCCCCAATTTAGTTTTTATCTAGCATGTGTAAAGGGTTGGAGTGGATTCACTTCCCTAGTCTTCTATTTCTGAATTCCCTTTCTCTAAAGTTCTTGCAAGTTATTGTTTTATGCAATTTAAACCTTTAATTTTAGTGACAAACCAACAAAACTCTAAAACACCTTTTTATCATTCTAAAAGTGATGTTAGACACCTTGGTTGCCACAAACTAGTAGTCCCAGTAGTTCGACTTACCCGACCAATAGCCCTATTTTACAAAGATTTATGTTATTACAAAGGTTGATGTATAATTGACAACCAATCAATACCAACTGTGATACCCCTTGAATCCGAGACATGGGTTGATCAGGCCCAAGCCCAAACCTAAGGGAATATCAAACAATTAATATTTAAATGAACACAGATTATAAAATGAATAAAGAATTAAATAATTAAAAGCTGAAAGAATTCTAATTAAAAATCCTCAAAGTATTAATGTTAACATCCAATAATCCAAAGCCTCCATAAATTTAACAACTCGGGAATTGGCATGGTCCTTGTGAGGGTAACTACACCATATCAAGCTTGAGAGTGTGTTTTAAGGCGAGGGCTAAGAGTTTTACATTTATAAAAGCCACTAGTACCTTCACTAAAAATATAGCAAGAGTGAGTAGGGATCGTCCCAAGGGATTGTGAGGATCGAACAAGGTCGTGGAATCGCTATTAGGGCTAGTAGGTCGAGTGATCAAACAATTGGTTAGTTGGTTGATTTGATAACAACGAAATTAAACTAAGTGATAACAAAAGAATGCAATTAAGAGTAAGTAAGAGACAGAGAGAGATCTTGGGGTTTAGAGATCACCACCAAGCAATGCATTTTTATACCGTTGACAGGTGACTAATGAGGGCAAATGGTGTGTTGCAATATTGAAGTGTGTGTGTGTTTGGTTGATTCAACAAGCAAGGATGACTAGTTAAGCATGTATTGTCTAAACATCATGTGAAATGTACAATATATCTAAGCAATGAAGCATATATTATCTAAACAACATGTGAAAGGCACAATAGATCAAAACAAGTCATTAATCCTTTCATTAAGCTCACAATCCAAATACAACACAAGGATAGAGACATATGCTACTTGTATTCAAAAGCTTGGATCATCAAACAACAAGCATGGATTGTCCTCCCATTTAACACTACACACATCTACACTACTAGCATGAAAATAAACTAGGGGAGAGGCATAATCCGTCAAGGAATAAGTATGAACCATTAAGAGAATCACAAGAGCATTCTTTTAAGCATTATGTCTTGATAATCTCCAAATCTATAGCATCAATACATATAGACATGCATCAATAGCATAAAATCTAGAGACAAACACATGAACATCTATTCTAACATACATAGACACATGGATAGAATGAAATGATCAATTGGAAGCATTAAACCACATAAATCATTGAATAAACAAGATCTATATATATCAAAGTGTCAAAACATTAATTACAACACTAATCCCTCAATAATACACAAGATTAATATATAGAAAGCATGCTTGGGGCTAACTTTAGCCTCAAGAGGATGTCTAGCCACTCATGGTGATGTTGCTCCAACCATCAAGGGCTAACTCCATGGAAGAGATCTGCTCCTTGGTTGATGAAGAGTCTCCAATGGTGTCTTTAGCCTCCTCCTCTATGCTTGCTCTCCAAGAGATGATATGAAAATGATATTGGCTCCCCTTTGTAAAAAAAAATCCTTATCCTTATATAGGTAGGTCAAAATGACACCCAAAATAAGCTGGGGTCGTTCACGCAATATTCCCTAATGATTGGATAAAGGACAACTTTCAATGAGATGGAAATTTAACTTTTTTGCACTAGAGGAAGTTCGATCGATCGAACCTTGGACTTGGATCGATCGAACTGGCTGAGATCCATCGAACTTAGGCTAGATTAATTCAACTAGTTGAGCTTTTTGGAAAAAGACAAATCCGAGATATTTTGGGAGATATTTTTGGGAAAAGGACAAAAGTGGTTAGTGGGTGGTACAGCTATGGATAGGATCAATCATTTGAATAAGGATAAAAGTGTTCGATCGATCGAAGGGTGGTGTTGGATCGATCGAACTTTTGGACTTTATGCTTTTGGGCCAAGGCTTGGATTTACCTTGAAGTGCTGAGATCGATCATTGTTTGATCGATTGAACCTTGAAGTTGGATCGATTGAACCTTGAAGTTAGATCGATCGAACTTTGCTACTTCCCACCTTTGGCTTCATTTGCTTTCTTCTTTCTCCACTTTGCTCATTTCTTTGTTTAATCCCATAAATGCTTCAATTAAGCTCTTATTTGGCTGAGTTAGCTTATTTTCGGGATAAGTGCTTGAAAATAGAAATAATACGAAATCAATCTAAAACGGTAAAGTAAGATAGATAAATGTACTAGAATGCCTAAGCTTAAGAGGTTTAAATACGCACTTTTCAGCGCTCATCATACCCCCAAACTTAAATATTGCTAATCCCTAGCAATGAACTAGAAAGTAAAGGAATGAAATAAACAACTATACAAGTATGAGTCTAGAAAATAATAAATGGATAATGCCACTTTCGTAGGGAACACGATTGCACTTAGCATATGCAACAAGCCTTTTAAACCCCTAGGTTACCCCTAGTGGACGAGTGAAATCTCGTGAGGGTTTTCAGAAATGGTACCCACAAACATTAAACTCATTCTTTCAAAAGAGGCACCAATATTGCAAACAAGCATTGGGAGAAAACTACCTCAAGTATGCAATTTTTCAAACATTTCTGAGCAATCTCCCAAAATTTCAACATCAAGCAAACAAATATGGTTCTCCACACATCAAGAAGATGATTATGCAAATCAAAACAACTCTAGAATTCTTTTGAGTGGACAGATATCAAATGTGTTTCTATCTAAGCTAACTAAAGAATTAATCACATCCTTACCCTCAAACTAGCACACAAATCTAGTACCGATCATCAAGACAAAAAGTGGACCTTTTATTAAAGCTTTATTGTTCTAGGTGCGCTTATTCTTTTCACTCATATTTTATTTTTTATTTTTATAGGATCAAAGATAGAAACATGGTGCAATGTGTTGATCTATTAAGCTTTCCAGCGATTCATGAGGTCGAGCGTTAGGTCAATGACTCCCAAACCAGACGGCTTTAGGGCATTAGGCGTTCAAATACCCTTACGGACTTACAAGCTCAAATCAACTAGGCTACAAATTAAGACAACCTCCATCTAATCATTTCCCACTTCTCACCTTTTGGAAGAAGCCCTCATTTTTTTATTGCTTTTGCAACTTTTTTTTTTAATTAAATTATTAACCTAGAGTTTGGGCCCTCCACCTTTCAGCGCGAGAAGTTCAGTGCTTGATGAGGCTAGAATCCCGGCTACTTAGTGAAAAGGGGTTGTTATCTACCTTTATTAAGAATGAAAACTTTCAATGCACTACTAGCCGAATTGGGATATAACTAATTCAATAATCAACAAAGCATGTACCCCATAAATGAATGCCAGTGTGCGCCTGTGTTAGTGTAGAATCCTAGAATGAATCTCAAAGTAATCACAAAATCAAAATGATGTGGACCACAAGTGCAAGCAAGATATCAATCTTTTGAAAAATTTACTCATAAATGGCATCCACAAGGTATACAAGGAGTATTGGACTCTCAAGTCAAGTAATTTTTAAATTTTAAGCAATATAGTCCTCAAAAGATCAATATCCCTCAATTACACAAGTCATGCTCAAAATTTTTGAATTTAGTACTAACTAACACTGTAAAGCACCATTCCCCCCAAACTTAAATGGCACAATGTCCTTAATGTGCAAGAGAATAAAGGAAAGAGTATACCAGTGCAACTAAGCAAGAATGATCGGGACTGAAGTATCCAAAGTGGGTGGTATGGCCCCCCAAACTTGGGATTAACTGTGGTCCTGAAAATTGGGTAACACTCTCTCACTGAAGTCACTATGATGCACCTGATGGATTCAAACATATAGATATGAGAATATAATCATATGTCATCCATAGCAAAAACAGATATATATAAAATAGATAAAGTGCAGGTATAACAAAAATATCAAAGCCGACAGACCGGTTGTAAAAAATAATAATGTACAGTGACAAAAGTAAAGTATCAATAGGAGAGAGGGATCATGAGATAGAAGGAACTGGGAACTCAGGAGGATGAGGTAGGATGGGCTGGTCGGGCTCCATGGATATCTCTGGATAGATCTCGGAACATAGTCGCGACATCCGTGCAGAAGGCAATAAAATCAGCTCTGTGGGCTGTAAGATCAGCTCGTATGGCAACAACAGCATCCTCAAGCATCTGCAGATGTACTCCAAAGCTAGGGGTCAGATCTGGCACCTTAGGCATAGATGAATCAGAAGAAAGCTCCTGAGTTTGCTCCTGCTCGTGAATGGGCGACCTGGCTGGAGAGTACTGCTCTGCGTCGTCTGCACGGCGCTCTAAGTCAATATCTATATGATCTGCAGCTGGATCAACTGGTGTGTCATCCGCTGCGGGATCTGCTGCTGCTGCCTATGCCTCCTCCTCCTCTAACTTCGCTGCAGCCACTATCGCGTGGTCCTACAGTCTGGTAATAATGGATCGGTAGCTCTTGTCCCAGTCCTTCTTTAGGAAGTGACAGGAACCTCTCTTGGGGTGCTCCTGTAATACCCCTAATTTTAAAAAGGATATTCCTGGTATTTAATGGTATTTAATTTATTATTTAAGTGCATTTTATTTGATTATGTGTCATTATATTTTTTTATTAGGTGCTTAATTGTTTTCTTTTGTGGTGATTTAATTTATTTAAATGATATTTATTTTTAGTTATTTGATTGAAATTACTTGTTAGTATTTTAATTATTTAATTGGCATTAATGGTTTAAGTGTAATTGATTTAGTTATTTGATTGGAATTACTTGTTAGTGTTTTAATTATTTAATTGGCATTAATGGTTTAAGTGTAATTGGTTTAGTTATTTGATTGGAATTACTTGTTAGTGTTTTAATTATTTAATTGGCATTAATGGTTTAAGTGTAATTGGTTTAATTATTCTATGTGTGTCTTATTTTATATGTGTCTTATTTGGTTTAATTGGGTTTACTAATTATTATTTTGTTCAATTAGATTATTTGTTAAGTATTTAATGGTGAATAGGGTATTTAGGTAAATACATCTAACTAGGGTTTTAATTACAGTATAAATTAGGGTTTTATATTATAGCCATCGTAGGTTTCTACGTTAATGGATGGGCCGGTTAGGATTGTGAGTTGGACTTAAATGAACCTAGGGTTTAGGAAAACTCTATAAGTATAAGGTAGACGTCTGCGTAGGGTTTTTTAAACAAAGCACACGTTTTGTGGAAGTGGAAAAGGAAAAATGCAGTTTTTCACATTCTGCCAAGGTTTGATCAAAGCTCCGATCCTGCTTCGTCCGTGGTACGATCGAGCTGAATTTTGGAGGAGAGGTTCATGACTTAGTGACGCACAATCTGAACGGTGGAGATCAGAGTTTGACCTCGGGAATAGTGATTCGAACTCGTGAACAGTAACTAGGTCACACAGGTTTTTTCCATTCTACCCAGATTTCATCAAACATCCGATCCCGCTTCGTCCGTGGTCCGATCGAGCTGAATTTTGGAAGAGAGGTTCATGACTCAGTGATGCACAATCTGAATAGTGGAGATCAGAGTTTGACCTCGGTAACAGTAATTCGTACTCGTGAACAGTAACTGGGTCGCACAGGTTTTTTTTTCCATTCTGCCCAGATTTCATCAAACATCCAATCCTGCTTCGTCCGTGGTCCGATCGAGCTGAAATTTGGAGAATAGGTTCATGACTCAGTGTCGCACAATCTGAACGGTGGAGATCAGATTTTGAGTTCGGGAATAGTGTTTCATACCCGTGAACAGTAACCAGGTTTTGGAACTCGCCGGGATTTTTTAAGAAGACGACGTTGAAACTTTGAACAAAAGTTTCTGAGGCAAGATTCTATCCTTACTCTTTCCCTTAGGCTTCATACTCTTTACACTCTTAAATGATTTCAGGATTAATGAAGATTAAACCAAACTAAAATGATATATGTTTTGCTATGAAACTGGTAGTTACAGTAGTGTTGTATGCTTGTTCAACCTAGACTAAGCATGTTTGTGGATGCATTATGGTTCTTTGGTTCACGTTTTTCCTTACCACTGCTAGTATAAATTATTGGAAGGATGGGTCTAGATGATAGCTATCTTAACTTCTATAATAACAACTGTTGGAACTTAAATACTAGGAGGATTTGAGTTTAACACTAGATCGGTTTTGTGGAGCACTATAATTTGAGCATGTCTACATACATACTGTGAATATTGTTTTGATGCTTATATTATCACAGTTAGTATCAACTATGGAGGTTAGGATTTTGTGATACATACCCTACATATCTGTATGTCATTTGTAAGGTGTTAAATGGAAGTTTTAATTAATTCTGTCTTTATATCAGACTATAGGGAACAACTTAAATTGGGCATGTATATGTTGTTGTTGTGACCCTGTTTATCAATGCTTATTTTATCATTGCTAACATTGAATGTCGGATGTTGGAATTTAGTTGATATATACTTGATTTATTGGTATTATTGACTACTGGAGGATTGGAAAGTAGGCACCGGTATGGGACGGTGACATACTAAGGATGGGTTTGGTTTTTAAAATAATACCATTACCCACCTACTTGGAATAAGGATGGGATTAACTAAAAGTTAAGTCCCGTGGATTTGTATTGTCATGGCAACTACTTGTTGAGCGGCAATACCAGGGATTTTGGATGGATTTTATATATGTACTGTTATGGTGCCTCGGTATGAGCTTGAGCCTCAGGACCGATGGCTAGAGAGCGTATATGCATCGGGATGTGTAGCTGGCTACGATGGTTGGAGGTGTACCATGTTTAAGTATAGGTACATATGCCCACTTCGTGTGCGTTTTAGCATGTTACCTCTATTCAGGTTGAGACCGGCCTGTAGTCCAGTGAGAGTCCTTTAGTGTGACTATATATATATTTACGGACTATTAACTATTGTTAAATTGTTTAGGATGTACATGCGTATCGGACCTCTGTTTGGATTGTAGTAGTATAGAGCTTGCGCGTGGGCCTGACCCACTTATATTTTTCAGGTACACGACAGTTCCAAGCTTAGACGTGTTCGTGCTGAGCAGAGGTCTCTATTCACTCTTCCGACGATGTAGGGCTCTCTCTATAGTTTTATTTCTGGACGTTTATTACAATTGTTCTATCTTCCGTTTGGATGTTTAATAGGGGTCCACTAGAGATGGATTCCCAAGTTGTAAACTGATGGAGTTTTGGAGTTTGGGCTTGATGGATTTTAATAATTATAATATTTTGCGGATTCTATTTTTAGTTCCTTCCAGCTTTAATTTCATTTCTTAATTTATTTTGTATTTCGTGTTTATTATAAAATATTAATTGTTTGATATTCCCTCGGGTTTGGGCCTGGGCCTGATCAACCCGTGTCTCGGATCCGAGGGGTATCACAGCTCCTGAGGGTGAATAGGGTAACGCTGATCTATTAAAATCTGGGTGATGAGGTGGCTGAATGGAAGAGACTTAGCCCGTCAGGGCGTCTCCTTGCTGATGTACTCGTCATATAGCTTCCTCATCACGCTCCAGATGAGCGCAGGAATGGACACCCAATGCCTGGTGTAGAAGGCGTAGAGGGTTGTCAAATAATCGCCCCTCCTCTGAATCTTATGCCCTGCCATGTATATATTCCAGAAAAGCACAAAATTGGTGAACCAAAGGTCATCTGGAAGGAATGTCCAAGTGGCGAAGGTTTCGCCACTGGTATGATGACTTGTAAGAAAGACTGCTATGTCGGCGTATGAAGGCCTGTATAGCCTCGGATATGTCTCCTGAAGCTCTGGAGGACATCTGTGTAGACAGCAGCAAGAGCGGGCTAGTGAGTCCACTGTGATGGTGATCGGATGTCCATCTATAGAAGTGACTAGCTCTGCTGTGGTACGCGGCAATGGTCAAAGGTTCTAGTAAAACAACCGTACCAGCCGCGGGTAGACTGGCTCTGTGACGAGGGTAAGAATAGCGGCCAGACCCCTCTGAATGATGTCATGGTAAGCGGATCGGGTCAGCACCGATCTATAGAAAAAGGCCGTGTCGAACACTGACTCATGGTCGACCGTCATATGCGCATATCGAGGCGCAGGCCTATCACGCTCCAGATGAGATGGCTGAGGTGAATGAGCAGGCTGAGGTGAATGCTCAGCTTTAGTATGCAGTGGAGATGGTAATAGAGTGAATGCAGGATGAGCCGTAGAGGTGGATGGTATGTGGTCATCCTCAGCCTCATGAGATGGTGACTGAGGTGGGATAGCCTGTGCTGGCTCCTCCTGTGCATAAGAGGGCTCTGCTGGCTTCTCTGTCCGTGGTCTAATGTGTCGGTGGGGCCCGTGTTGCCTGTTAGCAACGGTCTTCCTCTTAACCATGGCCTGCAAAAAGAAAAAGAAAAACTTGCAATGGGAGTTAGTACCAGAGTAAGAAAGTTTAAGCATAATATAGAAACATATATGTTAAATAAAAAAAATAGACAAAACAGATATGACATGAATCTATGCAAGTGGCAGGATATGAAACATGCTAAACAATGTAAGTATGAAATGCATCCAATATGGAATATCACAGGCATTGGGCATATATGAGATAGCATGAACATAAGATATGATGAATAAAGTGTATGTGTGAGATCTGTGAAGTTTGATCGATCATAAAAAGGAGTGAGATCGATCACAAAAGTTGGATCAATCGAAAATAAGTGAGAACGATCTCACAACTTCGATCGATCGGGGACATGAGTTTGATCGATCTCTCAAGCTCGATCTGAGATACAAGTTCGATCGATCGAACTGTGCGACAATGAAAACTCAAAGGTCACTGATCTGTGACTTTGGAAGCACGGTGCCTACACGAACGTGTTTGTAGGCCCAGCAATACAACAAATTAATCAATCTTAGCCACTGTTTAAAGCCCATACTCCCAAATCGAATCAAATCATCAAAAATATACACACATATATACATATATATATATATATATAGACACAAATGTTTCAAGCTTCAACAATGGAGGATTTTGTCATGTATATAGTATGTATTCAACATATAAAGCATGTATGCACAAGATTGAGGGTTAAATCATGAGGGACATTCTCGGATCTTACCTCAAACGATGAGAGAAGTGGAGATGTGGAAGAGTGAAGATGAATCCAAGAAGGGAGAGAGAGATTGATGCTTAAATGCTCGCCGGAAAGTTCACCGGAGGTGGTAGAGGTGATGGCAAAATGGTGACGGAGAAGGGGGTTAGGGTTTGTAGAGAGGGTGAGATTGATCTAAGGTATCGATCTAGAAAACCCTCGGTTTTATTTTTAAAAACATTCCCGGCATAGTTCGATCGATCGATCGAACTGTGATGAACTCTCTTTAAAGTATTTTTGGATTTTTGAAATTTTTGAAAATTGCAAAATTAAAATTAAAAATTGGAATTAAAATTAAAAATTGTAAAATAAAATAAAATAAAATATTTTTGGTGTTTTTTTTTTAAAAAAAAAAAATTTGAAAAGTCAAAACAAAGTCAAAATAATGAAATGAATAACTGAGATCGATCGAAACAAGAGTTCGATCGATCAGACAGAGAGCAAAAATATGCAGGTTTTTGGTTCAGAAAATTGGCTAAGTGTTGGAACTTGAAGATCGATCGAACTTGAAAGTTGGATTGATCGAAGAACTTCTTGATCGATCTTGGAATGTTTCGATCGATGAGACAGAGAGGTGAAATATACAGGTTGATGTAGGCTTAAATTTTTCTAAGTGTTGAATTATGAGATCGATCGAACTTGGAAGTTGGATTGATCGAAGGTCTCTTGATCGATCTAAGAGTTAGTCCGAACAATGAGATAGAGAGGTGATTTGGATGCAGGTTTCTACAGGTCGAAAATTTTTCTAAGTGTTGGATGCAAAATGGAGTTCGATCGATCAAACTTAGGTTTGAGATCGATCGAACTATGTAGAATGCTCAATAATGACATGAAAGCTCATGCAATCCTCACCAAAGTTCCTTTCAATGCATATGAGAACCAAAAACAAGTATCTAGACTTCGCAAGAAATGAAATTTAAAATAGAAATGAGGGAGGAGTAGGGTTTTGACACCCTACGAAATGTCTTTGCTAGTCTTTAACGTCTCTAGTAAGACATTGGGCTCTTTTAGCCCGGATCAAAGATCTTATAATGCATCCCGTCCTTGTTGGGGTGATAGATACTTTGAACTCCACCCAATAAATGGTTCTTTGAAGAACTTGTTGGATTAAGCTCAAAAGAAACTTTTGGTCCCTTGTCTATGCAATCACAACCTTTAGGCTTCCATGCCCTTTCAAAGCAAGAATTTGAAACAAGATTTTGAGAATGCAAGGTTGAAGATGATCCTTTGGAAGTTTTGGTCTTACACAAAAGCTCATTTCCTTGACATTGAAGATCATGACATTTATCTACAACATTAACCTCTCATTCATATTTGTCAAATGAATTGGGTATGGGATTAAAGATATTCAACTTCACCTTCATGTGGCCAAATGAGATCTTCATTATCCTCGTCCTACAATTGATGTTCGCATTAGCGGTTGCCAAGAAAGGACGGCCAAGGATAACGGGAATTTGGCTCTTAGGATTGGGGACCAGTTCCGTGTCGATGACAATGAAATCAACCGGGAAGAAGAATTTATCAATCTTAATCAAAACATCCTCAATTATACCCCTAGGCTTCTTAATGGATCGATCGGCAAGTTGCAAAACTACCGACGTCGGTTTCAATTCACCTAGGCCCAATTTGACATAAACTGAGTATGGAAGAAAGTTAACACTTGCTGTTAAGTCAAGAAGCGCCCGATTAATGATATGATCACCAATAATGTATGATGTAGTGGGTGAACCGGGGTCCTTAAACTTTGGAAGAATGTTATATTGCAAAATGGAGCTTACTTACTCGGTCAAAACCACTTTTCTTGGTGCTTGGCTCTTGTTCTTCCGCTTTTGGGTGCACAAGTCTTTCAAGAATTTGGCATAAGCCGGAATTTGCTTGATTGCATCCAATAGTGGAAGATTAACTTTCACTTGCCTAAACATTTCCATGATTTCATTGGTTTTTGCCTTTTGCTTATCTTTTGAAATGGATCCTTTTAAGGCATCCGGAAATGGAACTTTTGGTTCAAACATTTTTTCAGAATTTTCTTTTGAACTCTCTTCAACACAAGAAGTTTTCAAATCATTTTTCAACAAAACTTTTTCAACATCATTTTTTAAAACTTCTTTTTCAAACACATTTTTCAAGATTTTTTTCAATGTATCATTTTCAAAATCACTTTTCAAATCACATTTTGAAGATTTCTCATTCATAAGATCATGAACACGCAATGAAAGAGGAATGGGATGTGAAACGGGACGGGTGACAACTTGAGGTTGCACCGGTTCATTCTCTTCATTGGACATTTCTACTTGATTGTCCACAATCCTACTACTCCGCAAGGTAGTCACCGCATTAACATATTCAATGGTGTGGCCTTCCGATGAGGAATGGGTTTCCACAACATATTGTTGCTTAGGTGGGGCATTAATGGGCATCTTTCCCTTCTCTCTTGCATTGAGTGTGCTTGTTATTTGCCCTACCTGGGTTTCTAGCTTCGCAATAGATTGAGAGTGAGAATGAAGTAATTAAGTGTTAGCCTCTAAAGTGCCCAAAGCATTCAAAACTTTTTCTTCAAAGGCGGGACTTCGAGTATTTCCTTGGGAATAAGATTGGTTGGGAAAATGAGAATTAGCAAATTGATTCCCTTGTGATTGATAAGGTCTATAACCTTGGGATCCTTGGTTTTGAAGTAGAGGTGGAATGTACTTCCCTTGAAAACCTCCTTGGGAAGGGTTTGAGCCCTCTCCTTAGTTTTTCCAAGAGAAATTCGGATGATTCCTCCAACTTGGATTATAGTGAGTATCATAAGGATTATTCCCTTGGTTCACAAAAGCTGCATTGACTTGTTCATTAGGTTCATTTTGCACTTGTCCGTGAGGACAATGAGAAGTAAAATGAAGAACACTAGAACAAGTCATACATGTTTCATTTGATGCACGATGAGAATGGTTAGGGAAGGAAGATACTTGGTTCGCCGAGTTTTGGTTAATCAAAAATTGATCAAACCTTTGAGATAAAGACTTCATTTCGGCGACTATTTCATTTGAATGGTCAACTTGATGTAAGCTAACACTCTTCCTACCTTGTGAATTTCTACTATTCTTGTATGATAGTGTTTTATGCAAAGAATTTTCACTCATGCTCTCATAAAGACGCTACACGTCATCCTCATGCCTATCAATGTATGAGCCACCCATGGAAGCATCAACCATACTCTTATAGTTGTCTGATAAGCTTTCAAAGAAATATTAAACTAATTGTCATTTGGGCATGTCATGATGTGGACAGTTCCTAAGCAATTCATTGAAGCGTTCCCATACCTCATGGAACGTTTCTCCATCCCCATGTGAAAATTCTCGAATTAAGGTTCTCATGGCATTGGTCTTAGAAACCGGATAGTACTTTTTCAAGAATTCTTGTTGCATTTTTGCCCAAGAAGTGATTGAAAAAGGCCTAAGATTGTTAAACCAATACTTCGCCTTGTCTTTTAAGGTGAATGGAAAAAGTTTGAGTCTTAAAACCTCTTCCGGCATGTCCGTATATTTTATGGTGGAATATACTTCAAGAAATTCATCCAAATACTTGTAAGGTTCTTCACTTGGAAATCCTTGATAATTAGGAAGCATTTGAATAGTTTTTGGCTTAATTTCATAATGATGTGCTCTAAATGGAGGCAATTGGATGCAGGTAGGTGCATGTAATACCCCTAATTTTCAAAAGCATAGTCTCGGTATTTTGATTAATTGTTTTCTTTTCATTAATTGTTTTATTTAATGTTTTAATTGGTTTAATTGTAATTAGTTGTTTGGTAGAACTGTTTATTGACTTTAATTATTTAAATTGTTTTACTTAGTTTAATTTTATTTGCTTAATTATGTTCTTTAATTCTTTGTTAATTGTTTTATTTAGTTTTTGGTTAATTGGTAATTAAAATAAATTAAAGTTACTTGTTTTCCTAAATTCACGTTACTGTAGGATTGGTGGTAAGTAGCAGACATGCTTATTCACTTTGATGGTGTTATGGGCCGATTAGGTTTCACATTAGGGCTTCAGTGAGCTTTAGGTTTTGTGTAGCCTTATAAATAGATGTAATAAGGCTACCTAGGGTTTTACATACAAATAAAAAAAACATAAAGAAAAGAAAACCAACACACGTCTGTGGAAGTAGCAGAGAGAGAAACATAGGAGGTTTACAACAATTGTGTTCGCCGGAGGTCTTAGAAGACGGCGTAGAGATTTTGAACAAAGATCTCAATGGCAAGTTCTATCCTTACTCTCTCCCTTAGGCTTCGTGTTCTTTGCATTCCTAAACTGTTCCAGGATTAATTGTAACTTAAAAAGTTTCTCTGTTCATGCTAAAGTCTGATACACACCAGTATGTGTTGTATGGTTGTTAAACTGTTAAAACTTGATAGTTGTGTGCATAATTCTTGATTTAAATTCATGATTAATAATGGTATAAGGACTTAAACATGGACTGGGAACACACTAGGGTTAGGTTACAGGGTTTGGAAGTCATAACAGTGATGTGTAGAGGCTGCAGAGTTCATCGGAGGAAGGAACGACGAAGCAGAGAGGGAGGGAGCCGGCTCCCCTTAGTGTGGAGGCGGCTCCAAGAAATTAGAGCCGGCTTCAAGGTCTAAAGGTATTAGAACATGTTTCACCATATACCATGATCTTGTATTTGAATTATATATGGGTAGGACGCGTTAGTGTTGAATGGAACTAAGTTTTAAATTTAACATCAATTGGATTTTGTGAAACAACCAAAAACTAAGCATGTGTATATACATACTGTAATTCTATCTTTATACTTGCACTATTACTGCTAGTATCAACTGTTGGAGGAATTGAACTTGTTGATGGTTATTCTAAATGGCTGTAGTATCAACTGCTAAGTGTTGGATGACAGTTTGAAATAATCCTATCACTGTACCAGATTTTATGATACAACCTAAACTGAGTAGGTTTATATTTATATTGTGACTATGGTTATTGATGCTTACACTATGCCTGTTAGTATCAGTAATGGAAATATGGATTTAGCAGAAGTTTATTTTAATTGTTGATGTTATCAACTGCTGGATGATTGGATAGTATACACCGGTATGGGATGGTGGTATACTAGGGACGGTTTGGTTTCAAAATACCAAAACCTACCCACTCTGGATTATGAAATGGATTAACTAAAAGTTAAGTCCTATTAATTGTAGTGTCATAGAAACGACTAGTTGAGCGGCACTACTAGGGTTCAGGAGGGACTTTAAATATATTGTTATGGTACCTCAATATGAGATTGAGTCTCAGGATCGACGGTTAGGGAGCGTATATGCATTGGGATGCATAGCTGGATACGATGGTTAGAGGTGTACCCTGTTTAGGTTTAGGTACACATGCCCACTTCGTGTGCGTTTTAGCATGTTGCCTCTATTCAGGTTGAGACCGGCCTGTAGTCCAGTGAGAGTCCTTTAGTGTGACTACATATATATTTACGGACTATTAGCTATTGTTGAATTGTTTAGGATGTACATGCGTATCGGGCCTCTGTTTGGATTGTAGTAGTATAGAACTTGCGCGTGGGCCTGACTCACTTCTATTTTTTCAGGTATACGACAGTTCCAGGCTTAGACGTGTTCATGCTGAGCAGAGGTCTCTATTCACTCTTCTGACGATATAAGATTCTTCCCATAGTTTTTCTGGATGTTTATTACAGTTGTTTTATTTCAGTCTGGATGTTTAACAGGGGTCCACTAGAGATGGATTCCTGAGTTGAAAACTGATGGAGTTTTGGAGTTTGGGTTTGATAGATTTTAATAATTATAATATTTTGCAGATTCTATTTTTAGTTCCTTTCAGCTTTGATTTCATTTCTTAATTTATTTTGTATTCCGTATTCATTATAAAATATTAATTGTTAGATATTCCCTCAGGTTTGGGTCTGGGCCTGATCAACCCGTGTCTCGGATTCGAGGGGTATCACAATTGGTATCAGAGCACTCCAGGTTCAAGTGTCTCTAGGATTCTATCATATAAGACTTCCGCGTAGCATTTTCTCTTAAGTAGAGCTTAAGTTAGGATTCATTGTATTCCTTACGGTTCATATAGAAATGGTATTGACGTCTGTCTTTTCGTGTTAACAAATGGTTAACGTTAGAAACGGACAGAAAATGCAAGGAACTAGGAAGGAAAGGAGAGCGGCATGTAGGCATCAATATCTCCTACGGCGTCAGCAAATGGAGGAAGAGCAGCAAAGGCTTGGGTTTCAAGAAGACATGGGTCAGTTTCAGGAGGAACAGGAGAATGTTTAGCAGACTCTGGACCAAGTCAGAGATCCAGAGATTCTTCCTCACCTCAATGAGCTCGTTGCTCGGGCTATAGAAGCTGGGGTAACAGCTGCACTTCGGAATCAGCCTCAGGTACAGCCGGCACCGCTACCAGCACCAGTTGTTCAGACTGATACTTGGGAGAAGGCCAGGAGTTCTTTCATAAAGGGGAGCCCACCTGAGTTCACAGGCTCCACTGATGCCAGAGCAGCTCACCAGTGAAAATAGGACATCGAGCGACATCTTCGCTTGGTTCAGTGCACGGAGGTTTAAAAGCAGATGCTTGCTACATTCAAGCTAGTTGGGGATACACTACAGTGGTGGGAGTCAGTTACCACCGCAGAGGAGAGGATGGCATTGACTTACGATCAGTTCAGTGCACGCTTTGATGAAAAGTACTTTCCTTATGCAGTCAGGGTAGCTATGAAGACTGAGTTTCTAAATCTACAGCAGGGGAATATGACAGTGGCGGAGTATGAGCAGCAGTTCACACGCTTGTCTCTCTTTGCACCAGAAGAGAAGAAGCATAACAATTTTGTCAAGGGACTGATGTGGTCTATCAAGAGAGCTATTACAGGTAGTCCAGCCTATACTACCTATGCTCAGGTGGTAGACGCCGCTCTACAGTAGTATTAGTTGACCGTGGACATTATACAGGCCAAGGGTGAGAAGCGGGGTGACAGAGACTCTGCTAACCAGTCAGCTAAGAAAGGGAATGGGAACGGACACCGATAGAATGACAAGGGCATATTCCAGGGACAGCAGCCTTGGAAGAAGCACAAGGGTGGTTCAGATGCTCCCAAGGATGTAGCACCTATTCAGCGTCAACAGAATGGGGGACCGCAGGTAGGACAGGGTCAGCCACCGGCTAACCGATAGAGGAGGCCATTTGGTACTTTCCAGGGTAGTTGTTATACTTGTGGAGAGTACGGTCACACTTCTAAGCAGTGTCCTACAATAAGACAGGGACAGAGACAGGGACAGGGACAGCATGTGCAACAGGGGCAGAGGGCGCCAATGCCTCTTCCAACTCTACAGGTTCTTCGGATTCAGGGATAGACTTATCTGGCATTACCGGCACCGCCGCAACCTCAGGGACAGGCACCGTAGCAATTACATTATAGCAAGGTGTACAACCTTAAGCCACAGGATATGCAGGCACCTCAGGCTGTTGAGGGTAAGTTTCCTATACATAGTTCTCATGGACGTGTTTTATTTGATACGGGTGCTACACACTCATTTGTAGCTAGGACTTTTGGTGTTTTATCTGGGATGAGGACGAAGGTATGCACTAGACCTCAGGGTATTCCTACACCATTGGGCGATACAGCTATTATACATGAGAGTGATGGGCCTGTGACACTAGATATTGGCAGACTCAGATTTCTAACCAACCTATTGGTCCTGCACATGCACACTTATGATGTGATACTTGGGATGGATTGGTTGTCTCACTACCATGTCCAAGTTTATTATTTTGATAGGTCTATTGTATTTACCGTACCTGGTCAGGATATGTATGTAGTAGCTATGCCACATTCTAAAGGGGGCGGTAGCACCTATTTGTTCCATGTGGAGAAGGAAAAGGAGGAGGGGATTACTGTGTCATTGGATCACATACCGATGTACAGAATTTTCCAGATGTTTTTTAGGAGATTACAGGGTTGTAACCTAGTTACGAGATCGATTTCGTGATAGATTTAGCTCCAGGCACTGCGCCTATTGCTAGGGCACCTTATAGGATGGCACCGGTGGAGATGCGCGAGCTGAGGGATCAGATTCAGCAGCTACTTAGCCAGGGTTTCATTCGCAGGAGTACTTCACCCTGGGGAGCACCAGTGTTATTTGTGAAGAAGAAAAATGGTTCACTTCGCTTATGTATAGATTACAGGGAGTTGAACAAGGTTACGATTCGTAACAAGTATCCTTTGCCCAAGATTGATGACTTATTTGATCAATTAAGGGGAGCCACATACTTCTCCAAGATTGATCTGCGTTCTGGGTATCATCAGCTGAGGGTCAGGGAGCAGGATGTTCCTAAGACAGCGTTTCTCACGAGGTATGGTTCTTATGAGTTTCGTATTATGCCGTTTGGGACGACTAATGCACCTGCAGTGTTCATGGACTTAATGAACAGAGTCTTCTGGGCTTATTTGGATCAATTTGTTATTGTCTTTATTGATGACATCTTGATCTATTCTCTGTCGGAGGACGATCATGCTAGACATCTTCGCATAGTCTTGCAGACGCTTCGTGAGCACCAGTTATATGCCAAGTTCGAGAAGTGTGAATTTTGGCAACGGGAAGTGAAGTTTCTGGGTCACGTGGTGTCAGAAGGGGGGATAGCGGTTGATCCAGCTAAGGTTTCAGCTGTGATAAAGTGGGGTCAACCAACTTCACCTATCGAGATTCGGAGTTTTCTCGATTTGGCAGGATATTATCGTCAGTTCATCTAGGGGTTCTCCAAGATAGTAGAACCACTCACTCATCTGACCAAGAAGGGTGTACAGTTCGTGTGGGATGAACACTGTCAGCGAGCTTTTGATGAGCTGAAAAGGAAGTTGACTTCTGCACCGATTCTGGCTACTCCACAGAGTGGGATAGAGTATCTTGTCTACACGGATGCTTCGTTGCAGGGTCTTGGATGTGTTTTGATGCAGGAGGAGCGACCGATTTCTTATGGATCTCGGAAACTTAAGCCTCATGAGCTTAATTATCCAACACATGATTTGGAGTTGACAGCAGTGGTTTTTGCCTTACATATTTGGAGGCATTATCTATTGGGTGAGTCCTTCAGATTATTTAGTGATCACAAGAGTCTGCAGTACTTGTTCACTCAGCGGGAGCTGAATATGAGACAATGCAGGTGGTTGGAATTTGTGAAAGACTATCACTTTTCTATATAGTATCATCTAGGGAAAGCGAATATGGTGGCGGATGCACTCAGTCGCCGACCTGTTGGTAGTCTTTCTGCTTTATTCACCACTGAGTGGAATGCTTTGAAGGATATGGATGAGTTATCGGATGCTTTTATGGCTTGCATGGTGGTTACACCTTCCTTCATTCGCAATGTTTTACAAGCACAACTCACGGATCAGCAGTGCATTGACAAGGTTGCAGAGATAGCTTCTGGAGAGGTTCCATTTTACTATGTTGGGGCTGACGGAGGTTTGAGGTACAAGGGATAGTTAGTGGTACCTTCTGCTAATGATTTGAGGAAGGATGTGATGACTGAGACTCACCATTCTGAGTTTTCTGTTCATCCAGGAGGTGACAAGATGCATCAAGATATGAAACGGCAGTTTTGGTGGGTAGGTATGAAAAGGGAAATTGCTCTTTTTGTTTCTTAGTGTAGTACTTGTTAGATGGTTAAGATTAATCATCAGAGGCCGCCAGGTGCTCTACAGCCACTACCGATTCCGGAGTGGAAATGGGAGAGCATATCTATGGATTTTGTGGAAGGACTGCCTAATTCTTTCAAAGGGCATAATTCCATATGGGTTATTGTGGATAGGTTGACTAAGTTAGCCCATTTCTTGCCTACTTGAATTGATTTCACTTCGGAGCAGTTGGCAAGGCTTTACATCTCAGAGATTGTGAAGTTGCATGGCATTCCGTTGTCTATCATATTGAACAGGGATTCGAGCTTTGTGTCAGGATTCTGGAAGAGTTTTCAGCAGGCGTTGGGTATAGAGTTGCATCTTAGCACTGCTTATCATCCTCAGACTGACGGACAGACTGAGCGGGTGAATTAGATTATGGAGGATATGCTTCGGTCGTGTGTTCTTGATTTCAAGGGCCACTGGGAGGATTACTTACCGCTTGTGGAGTTTGCTTATAACAATAGTTTTCAGAAGACTGTTGGGATGGCACCATTTGAGGCGTTATACGGCCGACCCTGTCGATTGCCTGTTTGTTGGATGGAGGTTGGTGAGAGCAGATTCTTGGGTCCTGAGTTCATCAAGGATACTTTTAAGAAGATAGCTCTTATTTGAGATCGCATGCGTACTACCCAAAGTAGGCAGAAGAGCTATACTGATCGTCATACTTGGGCATTGGAGTTTCAGGTTGGGGATCAGGTTCTACTCAAAGTGTCTCCTATGAAGGGTGTTATGCGCTTTAGGAAGAAAAAGAAGTTGTCACTGCGATTTGTCGGTCCATTCATGATTACGGATCGCATTGGAGCCGTTGCTTATCGATTGGCACTTCCGGATACTTTGGATCGCGTCCACAACGTGTTTCATGTTTCCATGTTGCGAAAATTTCTGCGAGATGAGGATCGGTATCAGCATATCGATGTTGGGGAGATTGAGTTGCAGCCGGATGCAACTTATTTGGAACCACCATATCGTATTGTAGATCATCGGGATGAGATCCTTCGTAATAAGGTTATTCCTTTGGTTCGTGTCCAGTGGAGTCATCACAATGACGCTGAGTCTACTTGGGAACGGGAGGATGTCATTCGCTCGCAGTTTCTTGAAATTTTGGAAGAAGGTAAGAGCGAATTCCGAGGATGGAATTCCTTTTGTTAAGGGGGAAGAATGTAATACCCCTAATTTTTAAAAGGATAGTCTCGGTATTTTGATTAATTGTTTTATTTAATGTTTTAATTGGTTTAATTGTAATTAGTTGTTTGGTTGACCTGTTTATTGACTTTAATTATTTATATTGTTTTACTTCGTTTAATTTTATTTACTTAATTGTGTTTTTTAATTCTTTATTAATTGTTTTATTTAGTTTTTGGTTAATTGGTAATTAAAATAAATTAAAGTTACTTGTTTTCCTAAATTCACGTTACTGTAGGATTGGTGGTAAGTAGCAGACATGCTTATTCACTTTAATGGTGTTATGGGCCGATTAGGTTTCACATTAGGGCTTCAGTGAGCTTTAGGTTTTATGTAGCCTTATAAATAGACGTAATAAGGCTACCTAGGGTTTTACATACAAATAAAAAAAAAAAACACAAAGAAAAGAAAACCAACACACGTCTGTGGAAGTAGCAGAGAGAGAAACAGAGGAGGTTTACAACAATTGTATTCATCGGAGGTCTTAGAAGACGGCGTAGAGATTTTGAACAAAGATCTCAAAGTCAAGTTCTATCCTTACTCTCTCCCTTAGGCTTCGTGTTCTTTGCATTCCTAAACTGTTCCAGGATTAATTGTAACTTAAAAAGTTTCTCTATTCGTGCTAAAGTTTGATACACACCAGTATGTGTTGCATGGTTGTTAAACTGTTAAAACTTGATAGTTGTGTGCATAATTCTTGATTTAAATTCATGATTAATAATGGTATAAGGACTTAAACATGGCCTGGGAACACACTAGGGTTAGGTTACAGGGTTTGGAAGTCATAACAGTGAGGTGTAGAGGCTACAGAGTTCATCGGAGGAGGGAACGACGAAGCAGAGAGGGAGGGAGCCGACTCTCCCTTGGAGGGAGCCGGCTCCCCTTAGTGTGGAGGCGGCTCCAAGAAATTGGAGCCAGCTCCAAGGTCTAAAGGAGGCGGCTCTAATTTTTGGAGACGTCTCTTTGCTCAGTTTTTCAATTTTTTCTTCGTTTCTAATTAGTTTTTCATGTAGTGGATGGTTCTGGAACTTTTCAGATGAGGTTAAAACTGAATATGTAATGTTTAGAAGAGGCTCATGTCTGGGTTAAGGTTCCAAAAGGAGTGTTAATTAATCTGTCCACTTGGAATAGCTTGGACAATAAAGAACTTGAACAAATAATTATACTGTGATTGGAGTTGATAGACTTGTAGTGTTTAGTTCTCTACAATAGCCTTTTCTGAGATGAACAATGGTAATAGAACATGTTTGACCATATACCATGATCTTGTATTTGAATTATATATGGGTAGGATGCGTTAGTGTTGAATGGAACTAAGTTTTAAATTTAACATCAATTGGATTTTGTGAAACAACCAAAAACTAAGCATGTGTATATACATACTGTAATTCTATCTTGATACTTGCACTATTACTGCTAGTATCAACTGTTGGAGGAATTGAACTTGTTGATGGTTATTCTAAATGGCTGTAGTATCAACTGCTAAGTGTTGGATGACAGTTTGAAATAATCCTATCACTGTACCAGATTTTATGATACAACCTAAACTGAGTAGGTTTATATTTATACTGTGACTATGGTTATTGATGCTTACACTATGCCTGTTAGTATCAGTAATGGAAATATGGATTTAGCGGATGTTTATTTTAATTGTTGATGTTATCAACTGCTGGATGATTGGATAGTATACACCGGTATGGGACGGTGGTATACTAGGGACGGTTTGGTTTCAAAATACCAAAACCTACCCACTCTGGATTATGAAATGAATTAACTAAATTTAAGTCCTATTAATTGTAGTGTCATAGCAACGACTAGTTGAGCGGCACTACTAGGGTTCAGGAGGGACTTTAAATATATTGTTGTGGTACCTCGATATGAGCTTGAGTCTCAGGATCGACGGTTAGGGAGCGTATATGCGTTGGGATGCATAGCTAGATACGATGGTTAGAGGTGTACCCTGTTTAGGTTTAGGTACACATGCCCACTTCGTGTGCATTTTAGCATGTTGCCTCTATTCAAGTTAAGACCGGCCTGTAGTCTAGTGAGAGTCCTTTAGTGTGACTATATATATATTTACGGACTATTAGCTATTGTTGAATTGTTTAGGATGTACATGCGTATCGGCCTCTGTTTGGATTATAGTAGTATAGAACTTGCGCGTGGGCCTGACCCACTTCTATTTTTTCAGGTACACGACAGTTCCAGGCTTAGATGTGTTCGTGCTAAGCAGAGGTCTCTATTCACTCTTCTGACGATGTAGGATTCTTCCCATAGTTTTTCTGGATGTTTATTACAGTTGTTTTATTTCAGTCTGGATGTTTAATAGGGGTCCACTAGAGATGGATTCCCGAGTTGTAAACTGATGGAGTTTTGGAGTTTGGGTTTGATGGATTTTAATAATTATAATATTTTGCAGATTCTATTTTTAGTTCCTTTCAGCTTTAATTTCATTTCTTAATTCATTTTGTATTCCGTGTTCATTATAAAATATTAATTATTAGATATTCCCTCAGGTTTGGGCCTGGGCCTGATCGACTCGTGTCTCGGATCCGAGGGGTATCACAGTGCATTATACTCGTTAGGCACAGAATGGTCTCTTAAAGCAAGAGGTGGATTAGCTACTTGAAGTGCAACATGAACACCTTGGTTTTGAATTCCTTGATTGATGATAGAAGGTTGTGGAGCATACATTGGCCTTGGCATTCCATATGGAGCTTGGCCTTGTTGTTATGGTGGTTGGTGAATGAATGGCCTAGGCATGCCTAATGATACTTGTATGTTCTCATTGTGCACATTGGGATGAAGGATACCTTGTTGGTTTATATGACCAAGGTCCTCAACATGATCATTATTATGGTCATCATTGATAGATTGGATCTATTTGAACTTCCTCTTCCCCTAGGATTTCTAACGATACATTCCAAATGCAAATCAAGAGGGACAAGAGTTGGTCTCAATGAACGACGTCCATGAATGCACAATGCAAAACACAACAAACACAAAGAATGACAAACACTATGCCTTCACAGTAATGCAATTAGACTTCTTCCACATACACTTAATTCATACTCCCATGCTTTAACAATAATGATGTAAAGAATAATTAAAAGAAAGCCTTCACGCGGGCCGATGATTGAACTAAGGGATTAAGTAAAGAAAGTCTCACAAAGGTCCTTTAGCACTTCAACTCCAAATTTATAGCTTAGCTTAGCAAATTTTTAAAAATTTTCAACACTTTTCCTTGCTTGCTTAGCTTGAATACTCCTTTGCTTGCTTCCTCTCCAACAATGCACCTAGTTAAGTAAGAACAATACAATAAGTAACCAAAAAGAAAAATAAAAATAAAGTAAAGACATGATTAAAAGAGTACTAATCCTAATCAATTCCACAAATCCAACGTTGCCAAATCTAATCAATCAAATCCCCGGCAACGGCGCTAAAAACTAACGTGGTCCTTGTGAGGGTCGCTACACCATATAAAGCTTGAGAATGTGTGTTTTAAGGCGAGGGCTAAGAGTTTTACATTTATAAAAGCCACTACTACCTTCACTAAAAATATAGCAAGAGTGAGTGGGGATCGTCCCAAGGGATTATGAGGATCGAACAAGGTCGTGGAATCGCTATTAGGGCTAGTAGGTCGAGTGATCAAACAATTAGTTGGTTGGTTGATTTGATAACAACTAAATTAGATTAAGTGATAACAAAATAATGTAATTAAGAGTAAGTAAGAGAGAGAGAGATCTTGGGGTTTAGAGATCACCACCAATCAATGCATTTTTATACCGTTGACAAGTGACTAATGAGGGCAAATGGTGTGTTGCAATATTGAAGTGTGTGTGTGTTTGATTAATTCAACAAGCAAGGATGACTAGTTAAGCATGTATTGTCTAAACATCATGTGAAATGTACAATATATCTAAGCAATGAAGCATATATTGTCTAAACAACATGTGAAAAGCACAATAGATCAAAACAAGTCATTAATCCTTTCATTAAGCTCACAATCCAAATACAACACAAGGATAGAGACATATGCTACTTGCATTCAAAAGCTTAGATCATCAAACAACAAGCATGGATTGTCCTCCCATTTAACACTACACTACAACTACACTACATCTACACTACTAGCATGAAAATAAACTAGGGGAGAGGCACAATCTGTTAAGGAATAAGTATGAACCATCAAGAGAATCACAAGAGCATTCTTTTAAGCACTATGTCTTGACAATCTCCAAATCTATAGCATCAATACAGATAGACATGCATCAATAACACAAAATCTAGAGACAAACACATGAACATCTATTCTAGCATACATAGACACATGGATAGAATGAAATGATCAATTGGAAGCATTAAACCACATAAATCATTGAATAAACAAGATCTATATATATCAAAGTGTCAAAACATTAATTACAACACTAATCCCTCAATAATACACAAGATTAAGATATAGAAAGCATGCTTGGGGCTAACTCTAGCCCCAAGAGGATGTCTAGCCACTCATGGTGATGTTGCTCCAACCCTCAAGGGCTAACCCTATGGAAGAGATCTGTTCCTTGGTTGATGAAGAGTCTCCAATGGTGTCTCTAGCCTCCTCCTCTATGCTTGCTCTCCAAGAGATGATATGAAAATGATATTGGCTCCCCATTGTAAAAAGTAATCCTTATCCTTATATAGGTAGGTCAAAATGACACCCAAAATGAGCTGGGGTCGTGCACACAATATTCCCTAATGATTGGATAAAGGACAACTTTCAATGAGATGGAAAGTTAACTTTTTCGCACTAGAGAAAGTTCGATCGATCGAACCTTAGACTTGGATCAATCGAACTGGCTGAGATCCATTGAACTTAGGCTGAATCAATCCAACTGGTTGAGCTTTTTGGGAAAAGACAAATCTGAGATATTTTGGGAGATATTTTTGGGAAAAGGACAAAAGTGGTTAGTGGGTGGTACAGCTGTGGATAGGATCAATCATTTGAATAAGGACAAAAGTGTTCGATTGATCGAAGGGTGGTGTTGGATCGATCGAACTTTTGGACTTTATGCTTTTGGACCAAGGCTTGGATCTATCTTGAAGTGTTGAGATCGATCATTATTCGATCAATCGAACTTTGCTGCTTCCCACCTTTGGCTTCATTTGCTTTCTTCTTTCTCCACTTTGCTCCTTTTTTTGTTTAATCCCAGAATTGCTTCAATTAAGCTCTTATTTGGCTGAGTTAGCTAATTTTCGGGATAAGTGCCTAAAAATAGAAATAATACGAAATCAATCTAAAATGGTAAAGTAAGATAGATAAAGGTACTAGAATGCCTAATCTTAAGGGGTTTAAGTACGCACTTTTTAGCGCTCATCAGGAATCCATCTAGTGGACCCCTATCAAATATCCCAAACCGAAAAGGAAATAACTGTAATCAAATTCCAAAGCTAAATATAAAAAGCAATCCTACATAGTCGGAGGAATGAGTGTCTATATCTGCTCTGCATGACGAAGCTCTAACCTTGGAACTAACGAGCACCTGAAAAATAAGAGAGTGGGTCAGGCCCACATGCAAGTCCTATTCTACTACGATCCATACAGAAACTTGATATGCAGATACATCCTAAATAGCTCAACAATAACTAGAATAGTCCATATATGTATAAGCACAAACTATAGGATGCTCATTAACCCAATAGGTCTGTCTCAGCCTGAGTAGAGATACCATGCAAATCACACATAACGTGGTCATGTGTACCTCGACCTACCAGGGAACAACAACTATTATCTAGTTATCCATCCTAGGCGATATACGCACCCTAACCATGGTCTTAAGACTCAAGCTCATACCATGGCACCATAACATAAATATATGAAGTCCGTTTACTCCTAATACCAAATATCATCCATCTGGTATAGTAGCCTGATATATATATAACAATTCATCCAAAAACCAAAGTAGGTCATTCAATCATTTTATAACATGACACAAATATAAGTAAGACTTAACTTTTATGGTTAATCCATACTTTAATCCAGAATAGGTAGGACTTAGTGTTTGAACTAATCCATCCCTAGTATGCCACCGTCCCATACCGGTGCATACAATCCTCCAAATAACATAGTTAATAAAACAACACTATATATCCATCAACCATTCTCCAAAATGTGCATTAATATAAATTAATGCATATATATCAACATTAGGCAGTCATTGTAGAACCTAAAAATCATATTTTAACTATGTAAACTACTAAAATAAATCTATGCATTTACATCCTCCAAATTGTCCATAAATTGATGCAGTTAAGTAGCAAATAAGTATCAATTTATTCCAAATCAAGCATAGTTAATTTCAAGTGATTCATTATACTTATATCTCTATTTAAATGTGATTAACAGTATTAAAATTATATTTAAAATAACCTCCAAGTTCCAGTATGTAAGTTGATTAACAATCAAAGTGCAACATATAGGATTTTTCCCTAAGTTCACACCGTCCATTCCTTATTCCGTTTATGAATTATTATTTTCCTATGTTTTTACAAGTCCATAGCCATTATATACATCATTTAAAATAGTTTAAACGAAGTAGAAACACCCTACACAGTCCAAACAGCGCCCTAAAATAGTTAAATTCGTAATTCAGTGCCAGAGCAGGCTCTCACAAGTTGAAAGCCTGCTCCAACAACATGGGAGCTGGATCTTTAACTTTGGGAGCAGGGTCTATGGAGTTAGGAGCTGGCTCTACACCTTTCAGAGCTGGATCCATTGATGAGGGAGCTGGCTCCCTCCTTTTGGGAGCCTGCTCTCTTACTCCCTGAAGCCGTTCGACGCTTTTTGCTTCGTTTTACTTGCCTCCGGTGATACCTAGGCCCTTTGTAATTCTTTTAAATCTTGTTCAAGTGTTCAATTAATGTCCCAGATTACTTATTATGCATTAACAACATCAATTACATAAGGCTTAAAAGCATAAACAGAAGGATACAATTAAACACTTTAAACACTTTCAAAACAGTTTAATTCAACGAAGCAAATTTCAGTTTAAACATACATCACAAATATTTTTTAGCTATGTTTTAGCATTAATTAAGCTCTTGGAGTCTACCTAGGCCTGCACAGAACACAGGTTTAAGGGAAAGAGATAGAATAGAGACTTGCCTCCGATTTCAGTTTAGAAATCTTAAACCGTCGTCTCTAGCAACTCTGGCGACCTTAGTTGCCTTTACTGACCTCTGCTGCTCCTAGTTCAACCCACGAGCATGCGTTAATTACTCCTCCTTGATTCAGCCCTTGACCCTAACCAAAACCCTAACTTCTCTCTCTGTTTTCTCTCAACTTTCCCTCTCTGCCTCTTAATACTCTGTATTTGTGGTTTATGTCGTAAACCCTAAACAGACCTCATATGATAGCATATATGTAGACTAATATAAATCATAGTTCACTTATAATTAGAGACGGCCAACCCTAATTAACCCCAGTCGGCCACCACGTGAAGCATAAAAGAAAAATAAAAAACCTAAATTAAACATTCACCAAACCCAAATGTAAACCAATTAACGTATTTAAATATTTAAACAATTACAATAATTCAATTAAAGACACAATTAAATCAATTAATTCAAATAATTCAAATAATAACAATTAATCCACTTAATTCAAATAAACAAGCAATTAAACAATTAATGAAACTAAACAACCATGAATCAATTAATTAAAACAAACAGGCAAATACCAATAAATAATTAAAAAATGCAATAAAATAAATATTAAAATGCCGAGACTATCCTTTTAAAATTAGGGGTATTATAGGCAACGCCCAGTTCGATTGATCGAAGACTTTCTCGATCGATCTATGTTTATTCCGATCGATCAAAAATAATTTTGATCGATTGGAATTGCATCAGAAATTTTTTATCCCAGGGCAATAATGTTCAATCTTTTCGATCGATCGAACCCCTTTCGATCGATCGAGCACTGTTCATAAAAAAAAAAAAAAAATTTAAAAAAATTCTTTGCATTCTTTATTTCCTTGCATTTTCATTCCCTACATATTTATTTGTTTTATTTTTGTGTGTGTGTACATACTTGCTATGTCTAAAAAATAAAAATAAAAAATTTAAAAATAGTTTTTATTTTCATTATTTTGTTCATGCATCCTTTCTTATTTTTTATTTTTCATTTCTTGCATTGTACATATTCTTTCATTGCATTTTACTTTCTTTATCTTTCATTTTGTATTTTGTTCATGCATTTTATTCTTTGATTTTCTTACTTTTGTATATACTTGCTTTCATTAAATGAAAA